CAGAGGCAGCAGAGAGTGGAGCCCCTGGAGGAGAAGGGGGAAGCAGTGACCCAGAGTGAGAAGGGGGGCACGGAGCAGGGAGCGGGGCCCCAGATGGCGCAAGGGGGTACAGAGTCCGTCAAGAAAAGTGGGGACACGGGGATTTGCAGAGAGCAGGGAGAGGAGCCCTTGCAGGTGAAGGGGTCAGCAGTGACCCAGAGTGAAAAGGGGGACGCGAGGCCCACGGGGGAGCGGGGAGCAGAGGGAGATGCAGAGGGGGAGGGCAGAGAGCGCAAAGGGGGTAGAGTGTCTCTGCCCGCGACCACCCCCTCCCAGGGCACCCCCGTAAAGGGGTTCCGGGGACTAAGTGGTGGTCGCGGGGGACCCCGCACCCCCTCGACCCACGAGGCAGAGCTCGTGTCCAGCCTCGCCCGGCGGAGGAAGGGGGCCCTGCGGGGTTGGGGGTCTCGCGTCGGCAGGACCCACGAGGCCCAGGGGACCGAGGGGATAGCGGAACCAGCCCTGGGGCCCGAGGGTAATGGGGTACAGCTCCAGCAGATCCCCGCGTGGTTGAAGGGGGCTCGCCTGCCCCATGCCGCCCTCTCGCGCCTCATGGAGAAGCTGAGAGTGGGGGACGAAGGGGAACAAAAGGGGGTCCAAAGGGGGGGCCTCGAGCCATCCGGGGTACGACCTGACCCCCAGGGGTGCGCGGCCCCCCAGAACCTGGGGTTATAATGACCCGGGGCTCAGCTGCCCACTTCCTCGGACGTGATGTCCAACGTTTCTCTAAAGGAGGTCCACGGACCGTGGAGTGAAACGTCGAACATCGCGCCGAACAGCACGCAGCGGCACAACCCGAAAACCCGGGAGAGCTGCGGCAGTGAATCGATTGTTTAATCGAATCGTGATGATTTGTGTTGATCGTTTGGGGGATGGATCGCGAGACGCCCCAGTGATGCTGATTGTTACTGACCGCTGAGCTTCGAACTTGCGATGGCGGAAACATTTTTCTAAACGCTTTACTCGATTGTATATTTGCGAAGAACAGGGTCCCATCGTGTATACGGAGTGCTCTTGCCTATAACACCTGGGAATCCAACAGCATTTGTTTAACAAGTCTGATGATGAGACCCGGATGGTCGAAACCGGTGCAGAGTTTTTTTCTGGCTTGAACAGATAGCGCTGGACAATGTTGGACTGGAGAGCCCCGAGGCTCATAGAATGACAACGCTCCTCACTGATATTGGGGAGTCAGAACGGAGGTCCGTTTAGATTTGCTGACAAAATAAAAGTGTTTTTACACAGCCACACGCCCTTATGGGAGTCAATTTTAGCAGCATTGGTTGAACACAAGCAAATCGCTGGACCTGTTTCGATATTCAGTGTCTCGTCAAGAGAGTCAAGCTTGTTTGAACCAATGCTGGGTGAACTGCCGGATGTTTATAGGCAATAACCTTGTCTGTGAGATATTATGGGTCCTCGTTCCACTCAAGACTGTAACTCGGCATCGACCTTGTGGAGGTCTGACATCGATTTGCGATCTCGCCGCGCGGTGGCGCCACGCGCCGCTTCAATAAACAAAAACCTCACGCTCGAGATATTGTCACGATTGGTGAGTGTATGCGGTGTGAGTGGCTAGGTGAGTGAGTATTTGAGTGAGTGTGTTGGTAAGTGAGTGTGTGGGGGAGTGAGTGAATTAATGCTTGATGGAGCGGGTGAGTGCGTAGATTGGTGAGTCTTTGAATGATTCAGTGAAAACGTGAGTGGGTGAGTGTGAGTGAGCGACTGGATGTTTGAGTGTGTGAGTGAGTCGCTGTGGGAGTGAGAAGGATGTGTGAGTGGCTCTATCTGCCAATCATCGTGATCAGTCAACTCATGACACCTGGGTCTATACTCTTTGGTTCTATTGGGTAAAGTCACGTAGGTAAAAAATAAAAACAAAAATCACGACGTTTCGGCCACAACACAATCGGCCTTCATCAGGTAAAGGGACGGCTGAGAGGATAAAGGCAACGCTACTGTTATTATGGATAAAGATTCATACAACAACAAAATCCAGAATCTGTTCAACGATGGAAGTTACTCAAAAATAAAAAAATGACCCTACTAATAGCCTAGCGATAAAAACCAACAAGATCATCACAAGTTCGACCTCCCTAATCGACCCAACTAAACGTCCCTCCCTTAAACCGTCTGCTGCAAGACCCCCTAGATTCTATGGTCTTCCCAAGATTCATAAAGAAGGCACCCCACTTCGACCCATCGTATCCACGATCAACTCCCCTACATATAGACTAGCCCGTTTTCTGTCAGATACCTTGCTGCCTTTCACTGGCAAGACCGCCTCAGCAGTACTTAACTCAGCCCAATTGGTCTCTATGGTCAAAGACGTTGTACTGTCCCCTGACGATATCCTTGTCAGCTTCGATGTGGTCTCTTTGTTCACCAAGGTCCCAGTACCTGATACCATTGAAATAATTGAAAATTTGGTCCAACATGGACTAGACCCCGACACACCTGCACTGGTTAGGCACTGCCTCAACAATACCTACTTTACTTGGAATGGCTCCTTCTACAAACAAAATGAGGGTACCCCCATGGGATCCCCCTTATCACCAGTGATAGCCAATATTTTCATGGAGAAATTTGAATCAGACGCCATCCAGACTTCCACCCTCAGACCTTCCCTGTGGAAGAGATATGTGGATGACACTTTCGTCATTTGGCCACATGGCCTCACAGCTCTGAACCTTTCCTACACCACATCAATTCCAGACATCCCGCCATCAAATTCACCATGGAAGTGGAGAAAGATGGCAAGCTACCATTCTTAGATGTTCTGTTTGAGAGGAGACCTGATGGCTCATTGGGGAATTCTGTCTACAGGAAACCCACCCACACAGATTCCTACTTGAAACCTGATTCCCACCACCACCCAGCCCAAAAGAATTCTCTCATCAAAACTTTATACCATAGGGCTCATTGCATTTCGGACCAACACCACCTGACCAGTGAATTAAAACATGTACACCTGGCCCTCAAAAGGAATGGTTACTCTGACCGTACCATCCGCCAAGCTGTTTCTCCCTCCATACAGAAACAACCACTTGATACTCCGGTCAAAACCATCACACTACCATATATAGCAGGCGTGACTAAAAAGATTTCCAAAATTCTAAACAAACACAAGATCCAGGTCCGGTTCAATACAGTACACAAAATTCGTGATCTGATCCCATCCGTGAAGGATGTCATTCCTGACTTACAGTACCCCGGGGTTTACAAATTGAGTTGTACCTGCGGTGATTGCTATATCGGGGAGACAAAGCGACATGTCTCTGACCGAATTCGCGAGCACAAATCAGATTTGAAACACGGCAAAACGAATTCTTCTGCCGTGGCTGATCACTGTTACAATGCTGTGGGTGATCACGATATAATTTTCTCCGATACCAAGGTTCTTTGCAAACCCACGGGTTTTTATCAGAGATTTGTTCACGAGGCAATTCAGATCTACAAACACAGACACAATTTCAACCGAGAAGATGGTTTCAAATTAAGCAACCATTGGAAAGATGTTCTAAATCGAACTAAACATCAAACTAATTTCAATGGTACAGTATATTTTTCAAGTAGTGGTACCCCAAACTTTTGCAGCTCTTATAAATTCCCTTTTCACACCATCAATAGGTAAACTCAGCCCCCCCCGCGCCAAACGGCAAGTCCACCGGCACGTACACCACCTCTTTTCTAAAATCGGCCAATCAAATGCTATTTTTTATGCTAATTTCTTTGTCAGGACACCTTGTTTGCTCGCACACAGTTTAAAGGTCCGCGGTCTGAGCGTGGTTGTGTTTCACTAAATTATCCTGTTTGATTTGTACTAGGTGCCTCGGTGAATGTATATGCTCTGACTTTAACATAGCTATTTCTGTGACCAGTTACAAGCTAATCACTCAGCTATTTCAATGCTAAATTCTATGCTAATTCCTTTGTCAAGGGGTGCCTCTGCAGATGTGTATACTTTAACTTAGCTATTTCAATGAGTCATGTCAATGCTAAATTATATGCTAATTCCTTTGTCAAGGCGCTTTGTTTTCTTCTCACACAGCTTAAAGGTCGTGATCTGAGCGTGGCTTTTTTCACTCCAGCGCTGTCTTCCAGACAGTCTCGTTCCTTCACCTGATGAAGGCCGCTTGTGTTGTGGCCGAAACGTCGTGATTTTTGTTATTTTATTTTTTACCTACGTGACTTTACCCAATAGAACCAAAGAGTATGGATCCTAGCAGTCACGAAAGCTTTAAATCTAGAACACCTGGGTCTGTCCCATGACCTCCTGCCAGCGAGTCGTCGACACTTCACGTGGCTTTCAGGTACACCTGGCCTGGTACCAAAGCAGCGGTAACGTCACCACCACTGAGTGGCGAACCGCAGTTATTGAGAGGATGAGTTAATTCGTGTGTGAGTGTTTTAATTAGTGGGTATGCTAATCAGTGGGTGATTAGGGGAATGTGTGAATGAGTATTAAATCAGCAAAGTGATTGAGTGAGCGAGGGGGTGCGGATATTGTCTTTGGCGAGTTAGTATTTTAGTGGCGATTGTGTGTAGGAATAAGTGTTTGTGAATGGTTTGATGAGTACTGTATTTGAGTGCGTATTGAAGGTGTAGGTAAGTGTATACTGGACTCTATATCGGAGTATGTTAGTGTGTACCTCCTACAACATCTATATTTCGCCTAAAATCTATATTTGTTATATTTAGGGACAGCGTTATTGACACGTGCGTTGATTAGTGTTGAATTCAGTGACCCCCCCCCCACCCCCCCGGAGCGCGGCTTCACCCCTCCCCCCACCGTCGCGTCAATCACCGCGGCTGTTGCCATGGAGACGCTCATCATCATCGCCGTCCGCGCGTTGTTTACGCGGCTCCCAGGGAGACGCGGAGCCAATCCCCGCGTCTCGCGGCGCCCCCAACCACGTCACGTCCGCCCCCCCGCCAACCTCCCCCCCCCAATCCCCCCCTGCTCCGACCGCTGCCTCCTCGCCCGCTCCGCGCGGAGCCACGCAGCTCCACCCACTTCTACTACCGATCACTCATCATCATCGTTCTCACTCAGCCTCCGAATCATTTCAATCGTCATCTCCTACTTATCCTCTTACCATAATCTTCTTCATCATTGCGGGGGGAGTGGGAGACAGAGTCGAGGATTCGGACATCGAAACACGGGGACATCGGGAGACTGAGGCGTCGAGACACGGGGACATCGGGAGACTGAGGCGTCGAGACACGGGAGGACACTGGGACACGGGCACGGACGGACACGGAGGGACACGGGAAGAGTGGGAGAGCGGGAGATCTTGAGACCGGAAGATCGTGACATCTTCTTCGTCAGCATGGAGCACTACTATACGAACCGGTGAGGGGGGGTCGGTGGGTGGGGGGCATCTTCCTAGGGGTGGGGGTCCTCGTTTAGGGGTCCGTGGGGAGAGGATATAGGGGATACCGCCCCACGTGGTGAACACACACACATACACACACACACGTGTGTGTGTTCGTGCTGGTGCTCCCTAATAGCACTTTCCCCAAAAGTCAGTTAACGTTATTCGGGAGATCTTTGTGCTGGTTGTGTTAAGGCATGGAGTGGATGGTGCGGGTCTGGGTATGGTCTCATGTTGCGTTTGTGTAGCCAGACAGAGAACTCCGGAGACTGGGATGGGAGTCTCATTCGCCAGAGCGACCTCGTGGCTTGTCCCCAAAGTGACAAAATAAAAACAAAGTGCAGCGAACTTCAACCCTCTGACACTAACTACCAGCACGAACCATAACCTTTAATCAGAACACTAACCGTAACCTCTAACCGAGACACTAACCATGACCCTGACACATTCATTCCTCATACAAACTCCGACCGAAACCCAGCACACTCAGCCTATCCTCGACAACAAACCCTTTCCCAAGCCTTACCTTATCCAAATTTCCAACCATAACCATTAACCCATAGCCACTGACCCCGCACCATGAACCTTAACAGTAGCACTAACCACAAGCTTAACTCTACCCATATCCCAACTCTACCCATAGCCCGAGCTCTGCCACTATCCATAGCACCAACCGTAGCCCAACAGTAACACGAACCCACATGCCAGCTATTACCCCTATAACCCCTCACACGAACCCTATCCCTAACCCTGACCCCATTGTTCCCTTCAGTGATCAAGTCACGCCCGCTGCCACGCCCCCTGGGCCCTCACGGCCGCTTGTGATTGGCTGCCACCTTGTTAGTCCCTGTGACGGACCCCCACGGTTCGGGATGAGCGGAGGCTGCTAATCTCGCATCCCACAGATCAGGGTAGAACCCAGCTGAGCGGATTGAGTGGGATTATAGTAAAGTGGATGGGCCCCGAGGACAGCAGCGAAATAAATAATCGTCGTGAGCGTGTTCGTGGAGAATACCAGTGGCGCAGGCCCACAAGGCCAAGCGGCCAGCAACAAGCAGCACTGTCAGAGTTGAAGTCGATATAGATGGAACACGCTTCCTGAATGGAGCCAGGTTACTCTGGTGAGAGCTGAGGGGAGAACAGACGATGATGATGATGATGGGAGGGGATTCCAGAGTTGAGCAATGTGAGAGAAGAAAGATAAACATGAGGTGACCTGTTGTGAGCTGCAGTGTGGTGGTGGATGAGACCAAGCAGTCAGTAGCTCGTGTAGACCCAGTCCTTCACACAGGTGGAGGAGGAATCAAGGGGGAAGTTGACAGGAACAGATGCCATGGTAGTAGGGGCATCAGAGTGATAAGGAGGCGACTGACCGCCGGGGAGTGGGTGACCCATACGCCCCCTTCCCAGATTTGCCACTGTACATGAAAAATAATAGTATTTACACATCCCATTTGTCATGCGGCATTATGGGAGTGCATAAATGCAACAGGATTGGTTCAAAACAAGTAAAACTCCGGACTAGTCTTTGACATTCAGTCTCTCATGAGTCCACTCAAGCTTTCTTCAACCAATTATGGTGATCTACCAGATGTTTATAGCCAAATACCCTCTCTGTCAGATGTGGGTAGGGAGCTCGCAGATTATCCCATGTGATCGGGCAAAGGGACCGCGTGCATTGGGAAGAACCCCCTCCTCCCACCCCCCCACCCCCCCATGCCCCAGCCCCTCCTCCACCCCTACCCCACCTTCAACTCCCCAGGTCCCACCCCTCCCATTCATCACCATCATACATGGGCAGATTGACCGTAGGTGTCTACTGAACATTTCGTCATTTGTTTCCACTTTCCTCTGTTTTGTGCCAATTAGCTCAAGTCGTGCCGCATCTTCCTGGCACCAATCTCTTATGCCGTCAACCCCCCATTACACCCTCTCAAATATAACCCTATCCCTCTCCCCACCCACCCCCGCGCACCGACCCCCAGCCAGGAGATGGCAGTATAGTAATGGATTCTAGAATCCATCTGTGCGGAGCCTCGAGTGTCTCCCCGTCGTATGCAGCAGGCCGGCGCTGCGTTGTCTCCGAGTTCTCCGCTTTCCTCCCCACACGAGGCCACCAGACTCTCACTGCTCACGGAATTCCTGACCTAAACAACCCAATGAGTATTGAGACTCGGTGAGGCTCTTCTGACGTAGACCCATGGACGCCAAGAGGGATCTATAGACTCCGATAGAGACCCATCAACCTGTACACAGACCCATAGTTTCAATTCACTTGCAATGAAGCAGTCTTACTGAGCCTCGGCGAGGCTCGCTTGGGTAAATAAAGCACGCGGATTAGAGAACACAACACGCGAGTTGGTGACGGCCTTCAGCCGGTGACTGAGACTAAATAAATGTTCATAGTAATATTAATTATAATACATCAACTACGGAGTGGCAGCCAAGGAATGGAACGCGTCTGCGATTACGTCGACGGGGGAGATGAAGCGATGAGTTGAGTTTTGAGTCCAGACGCTGGGTAGATGATTCAATCGCAGGATCATGAGAGATGGTGGCAGCTGTGCCAGGCCTTCATGCAGCAGTGGAGAGATCACGACTCCTGCTGCTGTTGGTTATGCTCAGGCGCCCGTGTGGGGGGTGGAGGGTGGCGCGCTCACCTCTCCCGTCGCGTTCACGCGTACGCGACAGTTGCTCGCACGGGGCTGTCGCGACCGCGGGGTCGCGTCGCACCTTGTCGCGACATTCTGTCGCCCCACCGCCAGGCGCTCCCCCATCCTCTCTCTTCCGTCCTCATCTCCCCAATCCACCCTCGCTCACCAATCCTCCACCATCCTTCCAGATCCAACCTCCATCGGCTATCTTCCTCCCTTCCATCGCTTCCCATCCTCTCTCATCCACCCTCATCCCCACTCTCCTTCCCCATCCGCTCTGCTCGCCGTGTATGTCACGGGGATGGGGATAGGTGCGTGAGGGGAGGGTTATCCTTAGCGGTTCAGTCCCCCCCCACTCCTCCCACTAAGTTCAGACGTTTGGGAAGAGGCCCCCGTCATTCAGCTTTTGGTTAGTTGATGATGGGGGTATAGGTATAGGGAGCGGTAGTTCAACAGTTAGCGCGCTGCGCTCCGAACCCGGTGACTCGAGTTCGATTCCCGCTCACGGCCAACCGGTCCTAGATCTCTCCTAGGTCGACTCAGCCTCAAATGAGTACCTAGTGCGATGGGTAAACATCTCCACTAGGGAGACAAAGGCGGCCGGGTGTGATGTTGGCCACCCACCCCCTTGTGTGTCGTGCCGGCCTTCATAGGTGCTCGCTAACAGCACTTGCTCCAACAGTCTGTTAAGGCTATATGGAGGGATCTTTGTCTTTGCATGTATCTGTACATGTGTATGTATGCGTATGTATATGCATGTATATTTCTATATTTGTATGTATATGTATGATTGTGTATTACGTGCATGTATGTGTATGTATATGTGCATATATGTGTATATGTATGTATGTTGAACTTCTTTCGCACTGTACGTAGCCAACCGTGCTAATCGGAGGTGCAGCAGCAGGAAAACAGACTAAACACAAACATCAGTTGTAAATAAAAGAGTTTGTCCATGTAGATGATTTAAAAGTGCATAGCTCCAGTCGCTTTCTAATATCGGAAGGAAGAGCGTTCCGGACGTCCGCAGAAAGTGCATCTGAACGCGCGCGATGCGGTGACGGTCGTCCTTGTTGGACGGTTCGGCAAAAGCCGCTGCGAGGATGACCGCAGAGTTCGCGTGATGGTTTGTGTTCCTTGACTATAAAAGTACGCACACTCTGCACCGGTTTCGACTTTCTGAGGCTCATCAGCAGTGCCGGGCCTTGTTAAACAAATGCTGCTGGACAGCAAGATGTTGGTTACTGCAGGCGCTGCTTCGTTTCAGCTGTCAGGAGAGTGCAGATCGCTGTTCCGAGAATGATCTCGCCATTATTTGTTATTATTATTGATGTTATTGCAACCTGGGGCAATGGTGATATGCGATACTGTACACGGTATATAAATATATATAAATATATAAATGCGATTGTAAGTCTGTGCGCGTCATGGAAATGCATATTTATTTTGATCTTGGAATTTGTTTGTGGTGTAGATTTTCACATTGCCACTCGCCTCTATATTAACTCCCGATATTGAACCATACAGCGTGATCCATTTACAGATAGCCCTATGAAATACTAAATACAATTTCGATTTAAAGCTTTCGTGACTGCAAGGATTAATCTTCTTTGGTTCTTTCACGTAGAATGAGAATAAAACAATAAAATAACACAATAAAATTCTCACGACGTTTCGGCCACAACGCAAGCGGCCGTCTTCAGGTGAAAGGAACAGACCTGTCGGAACGACAGAGCTTCAGTGAACGATGTTAAGATTCGTAGCGACTTTTAAGCTGGTTGGGAGAAGTAAGGCACCTTGACTAAATACAAGTTAAAGACGCAGCCCTGCCAGTACTTGCTCAGAATGAAAACATGTATTTATCCTGGAGTAATCCGATGAGCAATGAAGCTCTATTCTTTTTACTGATGTCCAGTAGGGGCAGGTTAGCAAGTAAAAACAACAAACAATACAAACAACAATTGGAGTCCAAAGTAGATAAAAGGTCAGCAAATCGTGATAAATGATTAACAATACATAAAGTGCATGGGTACAGATTGCTCAAGTACGTAAATTCCTGTCGATTTTTCAAGACTAAATGCAAGCCTGGGAAAGGCAACAAAACAACAACAGTCCCAGACCACACCAAGACAACAACACAGTAGTCCCTCAATTACATTGCACATTAACGTTGAACTATCGACACACGATTAAAAGCTTTCGTGACTGCAGGGATTCATATTCTTGGTTCTAACGGTAAAGTCACGTGACTTTACCGAAAGAACCAAGAATATCGACACACGGGTAAGGATCAAAGATTCATTTCACATTTGCAAATGTGGTTG